AGCCTAGGAATTCCTTAGCTATATCGCCACTCTAGTATGGGTATACTCCACCACCGTGATATCTTAGTTATTGACTTTACCGGTTTTAAGCACCGTGCGTCGGATAATTATTATAGCCTCTTATCGCTTTAGCTATAGTATCGTCTTAGCTAGGGACCTTAGGAAGACCCCGTTATCTTTCTTCTTTAGGGGGTTAGCCCTTTATAGCCGTTATTCCGGTAACCCGGTAGGCTAAGCGTTATTCTTCTTCCTCCCCTACTTCGCTATAATAATCTAAACCTGTTATTAGGGGCGTCGAGTTTATCGTTCTATAGCTTACGGGGCCTTTAACGGTCCTATAGGCTTCGGGGCAGTATTAGCGAGTATAGGGCTAGGGTTAGTTATACCGGCCGGTGCTATACCGGGCGGTAGGGGTTAGGAGTCTTTGCCTCCAGACGCCCTAATAGGGTTTAAGCCGGCTATAAAGACCGGAACCCTTAACTTAATTAGGCCGATAAATTTATTACTGAGTTAGCCCGCGAGAGCGGTGTTAGCTTTAGGCGTCTCCCGTGCTTTATATATACCTTATTCGACCGCCTGGATTAGGATATCGATAGCGTAGGCTTTTTGCTATAGGGATTAAACGAGGTCCTTTATAGTCTACTATAATTATTTTCGGGCTTTTACGGTAAAGGATTTAGCGTTATTCTTCAGGGCCGGTCCTAACGTGTTTATTGTTACGGCGGTGCCCTAGTTCTGGGCTTTAGTCTAGCCTAGGACCCTATTAGTTATCGGGGGGGGGCGCTTAGGCCTTCTTCCGTTAAGGTATTATAGGTTCGAGAAGAGTTTTCTGGGGGACTTATTAAGGGGTAGGTAGTATATAGTAGTCCTTCTTAGGCTGTTATAGAGTTACGTCTAACGCCCGCCTAGTTATACCTAGTGCCGCTAGGTTAAGTGGGGGGTTAGCTATCTAATAATACTCTTCGGGCCGATTTTAGGCGTGTTACGGCGGATTGCCCTAAGTCCGAAGGTTAGGGTGGTTCCTAAGAGTAGGGTGCCTGTTAAGATTTTAGGTGGTATGCCGCCACCCGCACTAATATAATTGGGGCTGCTAGCATGAGATGTAGGAAGGATAACTATAATGCAGGTCTTGTGGTAGGTATTATAAATAGCCCCCTCCACGGTATAAAGGTCCGTAAGGCCCTTAAACGAAGACTAAGAGTAACCGTAAATACTACGCCTTTGTAGCCGTTAGGAGTATATACCGTAGATAGCCGATTTAAAATCCACACTGCCTCGGCTACTAAGTAAACTATTACGGTTTCCACGTATAACGGCTAGGAAACTAGTAATAGAATAACTCGCGGCTATTAGCGTTGTTATAGTTATAATCGAAAAGGCCTCTTAGCTAAGTCTTCCGCTCCCGTAATATACGCTTAATCTAGCTTACGGTCGCGTTATCGCCGAAGTATATAGGCTACTATTCCTTAAGGTAAAATAGAAGACGTATAGCGGGGAGATACTTATAGTATACAGAGAACTCGAATAACTAAATAACGGCCTCCGCGGGACCGATATAACGGCTTTATAAATAGAGATTTACCTTATCCTCGTCCTTTTCGCCCGATATTAGCGTAGTTATATAGTCGCTACCCTTATAAACGTACTTATACACGTACTTAATAGCCTAAATAGATCCGTAAATATTAATATTAGTATATACGCCGTAGCGGAGAGATAGAAGCGTAACTTACCTTAATACACCCGTAAATCTTAATATTAATATAGGTACTATAACGAAGGTAAAGATATAGACTATAGGGGATAATAAAACAGTTATTAACGGGGACCTCTCCTATACGGCCTCTTTTTATAACACGTAGGCTAGAGTTACGGCGCTTGTATTTAGGATAACTATCCTCGCGTATAGTTATCATTAAGTAATACGGCTTAGAGAACCGCTTAGAGTATTTTATACTATTCTTATTATTAGACTACAGCTATATACTCGGCGTAAAGGGCTTATTATTACCGTAAGGACTATATATTATACTCTTGCTAAGAATATTAAGAAGACGGCTAGTAGGATCTAACTCGCGGTCCGGTAGCTCTGTAAAGATAACCTTATTAATAGTTACGGGGTCCTTATATGTCTTAGCTGCCCGCGGCGTAAGGAAAAGAAGGATATAATAGTATAGACGACCGCGCTTCTAGTATTCCATGGTCTATATAATCCGGGTAAACTCACTAAATAGACTATTACGTAGCTGCTATTCTAGGTCACGGGACTTTAACTCGATTACATAGTCGACTAAATTAGGCCGGTTATTCGTAGTCTAACCTAGCTAAAGCTCCCGTATAATCTCTAGCTAGGTAGAATTAGCTATAAAGGTAATAAAAAAGGTCGGAGTACCGAGAGCCCGTATAATTACTATAAAATCCTAATAGTATTCCCAAATAAACCACTAACCGCTAATATAATTTAACGGTAAGACGATCTATTAGCTAATATTACGGATATCGCTATTAGCTTTATACGCCTAATCCTGTAACCCGTTATATACGTTAGCCCGTAGCTTATTCTAGTGGTGCTAGATCTATAAAAGCTTTTTTTAATCGTAGAAGACTTATAGGTCCACTAAAAACTATCAAAAAAGATAGTTATAAGTAAAAGGCATAAACCTCTACTAGTATCGCTGGTGTAGTATATAATAGTAGAACTAACAGAACTTTACCCTAGTATTCTGCTGCTAATAGTTATAAATATCCCGTAACTATAACTACTAGTAATATCTGGAACTGCCTTACGGATATATAAGCGGGTAAGATAACGGTCGGTAGGTAGAATATTTATAGTCTATCCGGTTAAGGCCGCTAACTCTACTGTTAGACTATCTCTCTACGATAATAATATCCTTGTAATAACGTTTACCCTACCTATCCCATATAATAGCCATAACCTTATCCGTAACGGGCAGATTCTCATATTGTATATTAGCACCTTTCTTAATAACTAATTCTATCTAGGGGTTTAGTATAACACGGTATTACTCGCGGAGGGAGTTAAAGCGTTCATAGGCTATTTTATGTAGGTAGACGAACTGGTTATACTTATATCAGAAGTCTAAGATCTCCCTTAGAATATAATAGTTAAGCGTAGAGTCAAGGCTCTGGGTGTTCGCGAGCCGGTAGTTAGTAGTAGTCTACGGGTCGTAAAAGTATAGCTAGGTAAAGGAGGGAAGTCGACCTATAGTATTTAATGGCCCTATATAGTAATAAAAGGTACTATGGATCTAGAAGGCTATTACACCGCCGGCTATAGCACCTTAACGGGTCTTAGTATATTATATAGATATAAACTAAAAGGTATTATTATATTAACGGATTCTCTTAGGATTATCTATAGCTTAAGCGGTATCCGCATATAATAGGCGTTAGAAAAAGTCGGGTAGCGGGGAGATAACGGGAATATCGATATCGCCCTAGTTATAATAGGCGCCGAATTTCGGGCTTATAGGTAACGATTCCTATATAAAATAAGATAATAGCGGTTATCTAACAGTTAATAATACAGGATAGAAAACTAACCTATAACTTCTTACTAATCTAATGGAGCGTAGGGTAATATTTATATTTTACCCGTATTTATCTAAGGTCGTAGTAATTAACCGTAATACCCGGCTAATACTACCCTAGCGGCCTATTATAAACTACGGGGCGGTCGGTTTATAGCCGTGCCCTACGCTGGCTAGTAGTAATAGCCGTCCTTTAATATATCCTGCGATTGCTATAGTTATTATAGGTATTATAGGGTGTATTATTTCGGCGCGTACTAAAAGCGGCCGTTATAAGGTAACAGTTATAGGTAGTATAGTAGTGACCTATAGTGGACTAGGGAGCGTTAGGGCTATAGTTATAGCCACGGCGACGGCTACCCCTTTAAGGAGCGGGCGTAGGAGGAGGGTCTAATAGAGAGTTACCTATTAGAACGGATAGTTAAGGAGGTATAGGGGCAGGTTATAGTAGAGGGTTACCGATTAGAATAGTTAGAATAGCTAGTGGAGGAGCCGTAGAACTTATAGGAGGTATAGGACGGGCGGCTTAATAGTTAGCTTTAAGGTTAGCTTTATAGGTAATATAGGTAGCGTAAATCCTTTAACGTGACCGCGGATAGAACCCGAACTCGGAAAATAGCTTAACGATACCATAACTATAGTAGTGTTTAGCCTCCTAGTCGGTTTAACTAACTATTTTAACTTTCGATAGTATTAGAGCGCTACGAACTACGGCGTAGAAAAAATCACTTACAGGGACTATATACATAAAACAGGATAGTCTAAACGTTAAAACTATAGGCGATACATGTAGTTTTTATTACTATATATGCCTAAAAACGGACTAAAACCTATATATATAAAAGTATATAGAAATACGGGTAGTATAGCTATATACTGTGGGAGGAAGTCGTCCGTAAAATACCGGAAAATCCCGAAAGATGGGCCCGGGCGGTAGTACTGCGACGAAACGCAGGCTGCTAAGAAGTGCCGAACAATAAAGCGGGCCAGCGTCAGTGTAGACTTAGATTCCGAGGTCGTGCCCATGGCCGCATGATAAATTGCTGCGAAAGTGCCTCGAGTCTTAGATTCCTGCGACGTTCCGACTTCCTATCATTACCTCACTTCGACACCGAGAAGCAAGATTAGGCAGACAAGGCCTGGTAAAATCTCTTTCGTGAACCCTCCATTATCGAGAAATATAATTCTCCGGTCCACCACATCTCAACGGATCGACTCGCCCTCCAGGCCCCGCCGCCGCTGCGGCGAACTACAGCCAGCTCTGAATCAACAACGGATCCCGATCTTTCTCGGCCGCTGAACTCAATAGGAAGGGATTCTGGGGAAGCAGAGGCAGCCGGTAGCACATGGCCATACAATCTAAGTCCTCGCTCCAAACTCTCATCTCTCGAAACAGTAGAATGACAGCCTTAAACAACCCATGAATTCGCTTCGAGTCCCCCCGTTATGCTCGCCACACCCTCGTCAAGTCACTTCTAATACTCCTCGGTTTTGCTACTGTTTCCATACACCGAGTGGTTCGATAATTTGCCCTCCCCCTCGCGGTTTCCTGTAGGGCAGTCTCTTGAATATCGCTGGGCAGCCAATCACCCAGCTAGCACAAGCGACTCTCCTTCCAATATCCTGGTCATTTCCCCCTCTGGTCTGATCCCGCGGCGCAAAATTGGAAGAGTCTTAAACGAAATTGAGCTCGCCGTAACCTTACTGTGAGCCCGAATTTGTCGCAATGTCGACTGTGAGTTTCCTTCACCCGAGCCATGAGCATTTGGTGTGAATGGCTAACAATATTATACAGACCGAACGTGATATAGCTGACCATCGAGGCGGGCCATCCAGTGGCCTCACCAAATTACGCAACACTGTATCACAACCTGTTGTTGCGGCTTTCTGTGCCGGAGGCGTTGCTGGTGCTGTCTCTAGGACTGTGGTGTCCCCATTGGAGCGTCTCAAAATCCTTTTTCAAGTGCAAAGCGCCGGGCGTGATGCATACAAGGTCTCTGTTAGCCAGGGCTTGAAGAAGATGTGGAGAGAAGAGGGTTGGAGAGGATTCATGCGTGGTAACGGGACCAACTGCGTTCGCATTGTCCCGTACTCGGCTGTTCAATTCGGCAGCTACAACTTCTACAAAAGGGTATGATATCAATCGCTTGTCTAATACGCCCCATGAACTCCGTTCTTCTCTCTCGGGACACATATAATCATAGAGTACTTGCTTGACCAGCGCTGTACTAACTTGCGCTGTGTCGACAGAACATATTTGAGCCTTCCCCTGGTGCCGACCTAACACCAGTAACTCGGCTAGTCTGCGGAGGTGCTGCTGGAGTCACATCGGTATTCTTTACGTACCCTCTCGACATTGTCCGGACGCGCCTCTCTATCCAGACAGCCTCCTTTGCTGAGCTAGGTACAAGACAGAAAGAATTACCGGGCATGTGGACCACCATGGTCTCAGTGTATAGGACTGAAGGAGGGATCTTAGCCCTATATCGGGGAATTGTACCAACCGTTGCCGGAGTGGCACCATATGCATGTCCACCCTGCCTCCACTGCTCTTGTCATAACTACTGACCTCAAATAGGTCGGCCTTAATTTCATGACTTACGAATTCGTCCGAAAATACCTGACCCCGGAGGGTGATAAGCATCCTAATGCTTTTCGGAAACTTCTTGCAGGAGCCATTTCCGGTGCCGTCGCTCAAACTTGCACTTATCCCTTGTAAGGCCCCCTGCCTTCCGTCACCGTTCTCCTCTAACCTCCTTCTCAGTGATGTCCTGCGCCGCAGATTCCAGATCAACACAATGACTGGTATGGGTTATCAATATAAGGGAATTGCAGATGCTGTAAGAGCGATTGTTACGCAGGAAGGCGTGAAAGGCCTCTACAAGGGGATCGTGCCTAATCTACTCAAGGTGGCCCCGTCAATGGCATCGAGTTGGCTCAGTTATGAGCTTTCTCGAGATTTCTTGGTCTCTCTTCAGTCTGCACGGACGGAGGGTGTATTATAAGTCCAACGTGTTGCGACTGTCAAGTAGCACAGCATGTGTCATTGTGTGTATAGAACATAGCATGATTGACTGCCTAATTCCCTGGTCAATGACTGTCCAATTCATGCGCTTGTCAAGATACGATTATTGTTCAAAATGATGGCTATTGCGCACCAGCCCTCCAATGAGAAAGAGAGGCGTTTAATTGAAGAGGAGCCAGCCTTGGGAGTTTCACAACCTCCACTCCTACAGCCTAAGTTTCGAATCCGCGTTTGGGCTCCTTTTCACTTGCATGTTCGTATACCTGTTTTCCGAAGAAGGAAAAAGAAGAAAAAAGAAAAGAAAGCCCATGCTTTGAATATCCCTGGCTTTATCTTAGCGGGCTCAGACGTTTTGATCCTAGGCGTGGAAGGTAGAAGTGGCGGGTATCAGATAAAGCGTAGTTCAAATCGTCACGAAAACGGTTAAAATTAATTGAGTCACTTATATGTGTATTATAACTGTGTTAGATGCCCACAGCCACCTTATCGAGGTGTGACAAACCACATTATGTCAGACGTGTGGAGTACCTCAGTCCTATATATCCACCCTTATTTCCCCTGCTTTTTCCGTATAGTTAGACATCCCCATAGAGTATTATAAACTTCACTTAGATAAATACACACATAATTCCGCGTACCTTATTTTGTGTTCTGACAAACTGTATTAGACCGTTAGAGAATTCCTGCCACCGTAATATTAGTGGTGAAAATTCTGTAAGTGTTTACCCGGATTCTAATCTTAGTAATCCGGCCCGTTACGTAACCGAAAAGACTATAGTCTATTCGATATACCCCCTAATCGCCCTAAAACGTTAGTTAGGCGATTAAAGCTATTTATAACCGGTAGATATAACGGGTATACGGCCTATATAATCTCTTTACTATAGCCGCCCTTAAATTCGTCCTCTAGGTCCTTTAAATACTCTAACCGGACTTCCTCTAGCTATTTCTACTATAGCCGTTCCCGTATATCTATTACTCCTACCTAAGACCTGAATATCTTAAATTTCTCGCCGTATAATGCCTTTATTAATCTATCTACTACTATTTCCGCGCTCGTAATATATATTATAAGTATCTACTCTTATTCCTTTACTTAATATAACTAGTAGCCGTGGATATTAATATAACAGAGGCGTGTTATTAGCGTACTAATCTCTCAATTAACTAATCGAATCGTTTAGTTATTATTGTATAGAATCCTTAATTCCGGATCGTTAAATTCCACTCCTATAACGGCTTATTAAAAGTTGTTTACGTATTAAGGCCGAAAATATAGTTTATTCGAACTAAGGAAGGAAAGGAGGAAAGGAAAAGTCTACGCGGTATATAGGCGGCTAAGTACGTGTAGGATCGTATAGGCCTCGCTAGAGGGTCCGTGCTTCTTAGTCCCGGCCACTGCCGGGGACTATTCTGCGGGCTATAGCCCGTAATATACCCCCCCCCCCCCCCCGTTAGAGACGAGGTCGCGGTCGTGTTATAGTCGTCCGGTTATAACCTTATATTGCCCTAGCCTCCCCGCGTATAATCTGAAAATAGCCTCCTTTATTCGATTCTATTAAAGGCTCCCTTGAAAGGAGGTAACTGTAGTAGCTAAGGTCCTTTTAAGGCTAAAATAGCATAAAGGAGTTCTTATATACCGGTGCTATCGCGAGCTCCTCGCCGGTATATATGCTTATTATAAATAATATACCTACCGTGTATATAACCGGGGGTTATTCCTTCTACCCTAATAACGTAGGAAGGGTAGTAAAATAAACCTCTTACTATTCCTCGGTTTTTACTATTTTCTCCCTCTTCTATAGCTTCCGATTTCCTAAATTTCTTTTTTCTTTCTTTTTTTAATCACTTTTTTCGTATCGTAAGTAGCCCTAAGATACCTCGTAGGTCCCCTAATAGTATAACTAATATCGCCGAGTAATAGCTTATCTCTTAAGCCATAAGTATTTTACTTACTATAAGTTAATACTCCCCTCGCTTATAGTTCTATGCTATAGCTAACTATCGGTAGATACCTAACTTCGCCTTACCTAATAAGCGCCCTTATCAGGGTAATAGTAAGAACGATATAAGTTCGCGGCCCTTATTATTATAGGTTATAAGGTTAGCAGTAACTAATAATAAATAGACTCCGACCCCCCCTTTTACTAAGAAGCGCCGTGCTCCTAAAACTCCTTTAGGACCCCGTTGCCTCGCTCCGTATTTATAGTATACTACCCGATACTATAAATAAAAGTATAGTATTAAGTATTACTATTAGTCGGGCCTTAGCGCAGCTAGGGCCGACGCTAAGTATTATAAGTGCTTATACCGTATTTATAAGTATTCGGAGGTAAGTATACCGGTTATACGTATAATACCTACGACTAACAGGTAATATAGCTCCCCCTTACCGCCTATAACGCCGCTAACGCCCTATAGGACGCCGCTTATACTATAAATAAGGACCCTAATAACGAAGATATAAGTTCGTACCTGCCCTTCGCTTAGTGGCCTTTATGCTAATTGTTCTATATAGAATTACCGCTAATTCTAGGATACCTATAGCCGCTTCTAAGTCGCTCTCGATTAGGCTAAATTAGGTAAAAACGTTACCGTTCCTTTATAGCCGCCCGCCCCGCCCGTCGCCCTTACTCCTATTACCGCCCTTACTCCGGTCACTCCCGCCCTTACCGCCGCCTAACCGTCCGCCGCCCCGCTATCCGCTGCGCCGCCCGTTACTACTAAGTTTTAAGCGAGTATAGTATAAGCTCTTAATAATATCGCTACCTCTATATGTAGTATAGACTAAACGCTTAAGGATATATCGTAGAAACCAGAGGATACTAATAATACTCTCTCCGCTATATAGTCGGAGGTCTATAGCGTCTTTAATAGCGCTAAGCGCGTATATAAGCATTAAGTCGAGTTACGCCTTATTCCTACTCGTAGCGCGCCGGAGGTAGCCCTTAAGGTTACGCCTGCCTTAGCTCCTCCCTAAGAGGTCGTTACTCCTCTTATCGTTAATAATAAGGAGGGCGCGGCTACCTCGACGGCTTACTTTAAGCCGGTAAAGGAGTCATAGGTAGGTATTATCGAGGACGGTATAGCCTTATAAAAGGAGGAGTTAGAGGAGGGGGAGGTTATAGAGTAATAAGTCTCCTTTTTACTTAGTTCTTTCCTACTTATAAATTAAGTAGCGCGGGGGTATAACCCTAATATAATCTCGTTTTTAGTTCTTATCCTCCTCGCCGCTATATCGGCCTTTTTTCGCGTCCGTGTCTCCTTCGTATACTATTATAAAGGCCCGTTATTTAACTATACCGGGCCGTGTTTCTTATTAAATTCGTAAAGTACTTATATCTCCCGTAGGCTTTTAAGCGGTTCCTATATTAGTTCTATATAGCCCTTCTATTATACTAATACCTCGCGGACCTTACTATAACCTCGCCTTCGGGTATAGACGTAAAGGATTTCCTCTATTACTTATTCCTTTTCCCCGTTTAGCCCTTTACGGATAGGTTATAACTAGGGGTCTATTATCGCTTACCCTAATAAGGGGTTATAATCGGCTCGCCGTAAAAAATTCACGTAGAAATAGTTATAGACCTATACGGGGACGTTTAGTTCTACGATATAGGAGTTAATAACCTTTATAACTTTATATTTATAGTAAAGCTAGGTAAGTTTCTTTAACGGCCGCGGCGAGTAGTAATTACTAATATCTAGCTATATAAGGTTATCCTTTTTAAACCTCTTAGTAGAGTAATAACGCCGGTTTACTAACTCCTTCTAGTATAGTTATATAGCGGCTATCGCGGCTTAGGCGAACTAAGTAGCTTCCTTAAAACGACTTAGCAGGTTATACGCAGAAGCCTTATGCTTATCGGTTAGCGTGGTCTTATTAACTTAAAGAGGATTTATATAATACCCGTATTATAGGAAGAACGGGCTTACTTAGATTATCGAGTTTACCCAGTTATTTAAGGCTAGCTACGCTACCGGTAATAGTGTATTCTAATCGTCTTAGGCGTAATAGATATATACTCGTAAGTAGGCTTAGACTTCTTAGTTAATACGTTTAGGACCTCCGTCCGTTTAAGGGTAGTATACGGTACTTAGTCGTTATTTAATACCCGCTAGTTTATAAAAGTATCGCTAAAAGCGGCGAGTCTAGTTCGACCCTTTATTATTAACGATAGACTTCGGTATTCCGTGGAACCTATAATAGTATAGTAAGAACCGTTTAGTATAGGCTTCGGTATCTATAATATCTATCGCTTTTAGCGTTACCGATTTCGAGAGGTAGTCGGTAATTATTTATAGGTATCTATACTTACCCTTATAGATAGGTAGTAGGTTTATTATAAAGTCTATTACGATATCGTAGAAGATTCGCTTTAGTATAAGGAGTAAGCGTAGTAATCCTCTTTTTATACCCCTTTATACGTAGCTAGCTTAGTATATATTATAATTCCGCACGAATCTTTTAATATCTTAATTTATACCGGGCTAGAAGAACTAATAGGCGATTAGGGTAATAGTATTATCCTTACCTAAGTATCCGCTAATTAATAAATTATGGATCGTTATATAAGACGGCCTTATAGTGGGTAACTAACCCCGTTTTCGCTATCCCCTAGCACCTATACGCGGTCACGAAATATTAGTCGTCCTTAATCGATTCTATACTTAGCGATCTATATTTTAAGCTCTAGCTTAGGGGGAAACCTCCGATCTCCCGCTACTATTATAGTAAGGGCGCCTTAATAACGCTTATCGGTAGCCCTAGCTTTATCCTATTATCGTTATAGCTTAGGGTCTACTTCGAAGATTATAGTTAGCTCCGGTAATATTACTCTTATTAGGTATACCCGGGGGGAGATAGCTATATCGGGGATTATCTAGATATACCTCCCCTACTCTCGGATATCGCAAGAATCTTTTAGTATATCCTACTCTTAACGTAATAGCGTGTTAGCTATAACGTTATTAGCCCCT